TTAATGAAATACCCATACATTTTGCAGTCTTTAAAAAGTAGAGGGAGGGCTATAAGCATACGAGTATGTGTTTTGAAGTCAAGTCCACTTGAAAACTGGTCCTGAAGAATGTCCATTTGGTTTGCGACCATTACTGAGATCAGGGCAATACTGAAACTGTGCATGGGTCCCCTTTATCCACACACACACACACACACACACACATCTTTACATTGTAAAGAGTCATGCTGCAGTGCTTGAATATTAACCAACAGGTAGTTGAATGTGGACAAAGCTCTATGATTTCCTTCCATCTCATGTTTTTAAATATGCCTGCATCCTAAGACAGCCTATTCTAAAGTGAATATTTTGCCTTCTGCCTACTTTCATTTTTTTTTTTTTTTTTTTTAACAGAAAAGATTCCGGCCGAAGCACAACCTGAATTGGGAACCTGGGGAGATGGGAAAGGTGAAGATGAATTATCCCCAGAAGAAATACAAATGGTAATGCTATTCTCTGCCTAATCATGTATTTTTAACTAGTTTTAGTAAGAATATTTCATTGAGTAGGAGGTCATCCTAAATGCCCTTGCCCTAATTTTTATACTGAGTTTTAAAAATTATAAATAAATATTTTAGATCAATTTTCCACTTGATTTCCAAATTCTTAGTATGCTTTTCATATGTTTTAAATTTGCAGTAGCATTAAAGAAGAAATTGCCTTGGAATAATTTTATTAATATTAGATGTCTTTTCAGTGGCAGTAAGATAGTCTTCTATTCTAAATGGGTCTTTTATAATCACTGCTATGGTGCTTTTTAATTGTTTGAATTACTGGTGCATGGTAATGTGAAGAAAGCGTAAGTAATGGCTGAAGAATGAAAAGAATAACACCTTAACTGCAAATATCACCTCCTTTTATTTACCTGTCCCCTAGTTGCCAATTGCAGTTTATTATCTCTGGGTGAGTTTCAAAAGAAAAGGGACAGATTTGGCCAGAGCCCCTACCTGTTCGTTTACAGCCGGGTCCATGCACAGCTGCCTGGACATCGGTGTGACAGAGCCACATGGAGTACGTGTACCTGGGGTTGGGAACAGATGTGTCCTAGAGCTGCCCTGGTGGGATGCTGGCCTTGCCCAAAGAGCTGAGAAGCCGGTTCCCACATAGTCCCCCTCCAGTGGCTGTGCCTGGCAAATGACACCTTAATTTGCAGCTCTTTACGGTGGACAGGACTTTTTAGTACTTGTTTTATCCGTGATACTCTCAGTAATCACACTAAGAGGTGTTGGGGCATTACTGTCTTCTTGTAACTTTGGCCAAAAGCAGTCGGCTCTCTTGTCCATGGGCCCCTCGTTGGTAAGTGGTTGAGCCTATCTTCAGTCCGCGGGGTCTGCTGATGTCTCCTGAAGAAGATGAGAGGTGGGTCTTCGAGCCATGGCTGTCGAGCGAGAGAGGCACCCATCTCCTCCCAGACCTCACACAGAGGCATTCGTGTCACCAAGCTCTTCACTCTTGTCTTCCTGTCCTACAGGCTCAGATGTTGTGTCCTCAGAGAGTCCTTCCCCGACCACCCAGCCTAAGGTGGCCCCAGCCACTATGTCTGTGTGCCCACATCCTGCCCTCATCCCTCCACTAGAATACAAGTGCCCTGAGGGTGGAAATCTGTCTGCTTTCACTGCTGTGTTCCCAGAGCCTAGAGCAGGGGTGGGAACTGTTTGTTGAATGGATGAGTGACTTTGATTAATATAATATAAAAACTCTAGGTTATTTTAAATGGTAAAGCAGGATCATCAGTAAGAACTACTAGAATATTCTAAGTTATTATTGTTACTATTTATATTTATGAACACCTTCTATGCGCCAGGCCTTGTTTGTTTAATCTCATAACAGTCTAGTGAAGTAGGAATTATCTCTCTTGTATAGTTGACGAAAATGGGGCACAAAACTTCCAAAGCCCGTGCAAGGTCACAGAGCCGAGCATCTGAGCCACGCTCCGTGCCCCGAGCCCTGGCTCCAGACCCTGAGCTTTTTTCCTGCATCACAGCTCATGTGAGTGCCCGCTGGGATCTGGTGGTCTAGGTAAGTGTAGCCTGCACAGGAGCACTGGCAGACCGACCTGGGCGGCCTGACAGAGGCCTCACCGGCCCCAGCAAGGGGGCCAGGTCTGCTCTCTTGAGCGTTGGCTGCTGAGAGCATAAAGCAGGCTCGGAATCCTCTTGCTCTCGAGGCTTCCTGTTTCTTCCCCACGCCTGATTATGGGATTGAAACACCGGTGGCCCCTCACGGTGGGCTAATGACTGAGTGAGCTGACCCAAGAGGGTGCCAGGCATACAGAAGGCACTCATAATTGAGTTCCCTCGGCCTTTCCCCTTCAGAGTGGCAGGTGTGCACAGAGGCAGGACAGCCCTGGGCTGCACAGGGTCGGGGGGGCCTGGGCAGTGCTCACATGTGTGGGGAAGGGCTGTGGTGTGTGTGCTGCCCTCACGGCAGGATCAAAGGGCCACGCGGGGTGGCAGCTGCCGCTCCATGGAGTCTTCATACATATTTTATACTCAGGACTGTTTCACAAACATTCATTCACCCAGATGAGCAGTTTCCCCTTTAAGATCATCACCTTAGAAGCGTGACACTGATTCCAGTGATGACACCATTAGCCGTGACTTTCCTGGGACTTGCTATGGGGGTGCTCCCTCAGAGGCTGTGGGACTTCTTTAGAACAAGAAGCAGAGCTATCTGTGCCCAATAGATAAAAATAATTCTGAGCTAAGGAAGTAACTCAAACACCTTAAAGTGGCCTGCCAGGCCCCTGCCTTCCTTCCACACCTCTGACTTGGAGTACATGCTCAGTGCCCCCCAGACCAGCAGGCACGTGACCCGGAGGCCTCGCGGTGTAGACTCCAGGCAGCAGCTGTGGTTGCCCAGTCAAGTAGAGAGAGGCTGAAGACGATGGCCAGGGAGTGGAAGTGTGAGCGGAGATGAGAGAGCTGCTGCGGGAAGTGGACTGGACCTGGTGATCCACTGGAGGGCAGCAGGGCGTGTGAAGAGAGTGAGGCAGGAGAAAGAGCCTGGAGCTCTGTGACCTGGGGAAGCAGGATGCCGGCAGTCAGGAAATGAGGACCTGGTCACGGACAGGTGTGAGTCCGTGGGAGGTGTCTGGTGGGCGCTGGGATCCTGGGCTTGGGGCTTGGGCTGGAGACGTGACTGTGGGATACACCTGAGGGCTGGTGTTTGAAACAGTGCATACAGGGGAGAGAAAGGCACAGCACATCATCCTGGGACACAACGCCGGAGGGCAGGCCCAGGCGGAGAAGCCAGCAGGCTAAAGGACAATTTGATCATGCTCCCTGATAGCCAAATGATGGCCAGAGTTTCTTAAAAGCTCATAGTTTTCCTTCAGTTTACACAAAATAACTTTATTATTGAAAATGATGTCACGTTCCCCCATATCATGTAACATGACCACCGATCTTTGCTAGAGATAAAAATATGTGTAGTACTATCCCTTCATTAAGAAAGAATACATTTGTATTTAGGCAGAACTTAGCTTCCATTTAGGGCTTTTTAAAAAATACACTGCACCGCTTCATAAAGGAAGTATCTAGGAGAATGGCAGTCAGAGGACTTGCCTTCCCCACAGGCAGTGGTGAGCCGCAGCAGCTTGTTAACCTGCACAGACGCGTGCTTAGAAGCTGCAAGATGCACGGAGGCTGGACCAGTGGAAGGCTGGCAGCAAGGATATCTGTGATCAGCTGATGCTTGGCCCCAGTGAGAGATGGCCCCAGTCAAGGGCTTTGGGATTTGACAGAGTTGGTTTTTAACCCTCTTTATGTCACTTACTGCCTGTGTAATTTGGGGGCAAGAAAATAAGCCTCACTGAACTTCAGCTTGGTAAGTTGACAGGATTGTCAGGAATACAGTCGTGTATGTATGAGTGCCCAGGAAAGTGCAGGGCACATAGCAGCTGCTCAGAGAATGCTCCCTCACAAACAGTGAGAGATCGTTGCTGGCCCCGTGTGGTCCTGGGTTCCCTGCACAAGTTCCGAGTGTGATGTATGTAGCTGTTGCGTATGAGAAACACATGTTCACATCATAAGGCTCGTCTTCCCATAATGATGGTTGGTGCACCATGCTTTGTCCAAGCGTTGTCCAAATGAATGAAGCATTGTCCAGAAACATGCCGGGGATCATTCCCAATAATGCTAGTTATTTTGGCGTCATGATATCAGTGACCTAAGCAATCAGAACCAGCAGGACCTCCCTAATTTTTATCGCATAATTGCAAGAGGATGGGGCAGAAGGCTGTACTGTTCAGTACTTTTATGACAAGCTGTTTAATGTTCAGTTCACTCCTTTCTTAATTGGGGCTCATAGCTAAGTACCATATCTTACAGTCTGACTGACGCAAACCTTATTTAAAAGGCTCAACCCTGAAAATGAAGAGAAAGAAATGCCATACTATTGGTTTGAAATTGGAAAGTGTTACAGCAAATTGTGGTCATAAGTCATAATCACTGTTCCTCAGGGTAAAATAATGAATTAAGCCCTATAAATAGCAGTTTAATTCATTATTTCACCCATAGGAGCTGTTGTTACTCGTTCCAGAATGGCTGCGGAGCATTGTATGATTCGCACAATACGTTTCCATTCATCACTCATGATGCAGGGATATTAATGCCTTTGAGTTAATATAAGCAGATGTTTTGTGGTCAGGCTGAGTGGAACCAAATTGTTTTCTGATGTTACCCAGAGAAAATACCTCCTTTCTAAGCCCACATTCATTTTACTTGCCTCCAGTGAAACCACTGCACTTAGTGATGTATTTCTTGGAATAATTTTTAAACACATGAATGTGACTTCTGTTCTTCAGATCACATGAAAAGTGTCCCTAGCCCGTGTCCCCGGAGGTGGGCCCTTGGAAGCACCCGGTGGCTGGCTGGCAGGGCTTGTGGTCTGTGGCCAAGCTTGGCTTACACATTGAGAACAGGAGAATTGTTGATAGAATTTGAGCACCACACAGGTGAAAGCTGGGGCATAGACCCTGGGGAGGTTCACAGGGCCACAGGTGGGGGTCACGGTGAGGGTCACAGAGCCACACGTGTGAAGGCGTTTGGCACAGATAAAGCACAACTAGAAGAGCCCAGAGTGGGCCTGGGCGGCGGGCTCCTGAGCCAAGCGGGCAGACTGCCTTCTAGGCCAAGCCCCCTGTGGGTTCACAGCGTTGCTTCAGTGAACTGTTCTTAGGTCTTTGCGATGCAGATCCTTCTCCTGGTTTCATCTGGCGCTCAAAGGCCTTGGTAGGAATGATTTTCTTTTTAAAACTACAGTAAAGAGGATTCGATTAAAAAAGGATTTCTGTAACAATGCATTCACAATGTGGATCTGTATCCTTTAAACCAGATTATAAACCCTTTTGGGGGGCCCTACTTGAAAGTCTGACTTACTTCTGAATGGAATAAAGCGGTTAAATGATACTGCCTGACGTGCATGTAACCGTCTCAGCCCAGTACCGTATGAGCGCTTGAGCATGTATTAATTTATGCTGCCCCATGTGGTAGGGACTGTTGCTGGGCCCCCAAGTCCTAGACTCTTAACCATGATGCCTACCACTGCTGTTGGGGGTCTGCACTGAGGGAAAGCCCTGTGTTTTGCTGTGAGACCTAAACAGTGTAGAGCGCAGTGGCCCAGAAGGACAGGCTGGCTGCTGTCATGCTTGCCGGGCCCTGCCTGCCCACCTCCTCCATCATCCAGGCCTCTCATCTCCCTTTTCCGGGACTCATGGAGATGGAGGACATGGCAGGTGTGTCGTCCCAGGGCCTGTAGGTCCTCCTGCCCTTGGTGCTGATCGTGGAGCTGAGGCTGCATTCAGCACTGCACCTTGTGAAGCCCCTGCCTGTGCCGGCTGCCAGTGAGCCCCAGGGAGCTCTGTGTGCCTGTGCTTCTCAGGCCTGAGAGGGTAGGAGACCAGTAGTGGCCCTCTAGAATTTGAAACCAGGGAGGGGGAAGGGGCCGTCAAAGCATTTAATGACTCATTTTGCATATCCAGGATCTGACTCCTGAAGAGATTAAATAACAGTTATTAACGTTTATCAAGGTGAAGTTGGTAAGCAGCTTCCACAGATTAGCACATATCTTCCTCCTAATGACCCTATTGAGTACTACAATTATCCCCAGTTTAGTGATGAAGGCAGAGACACAGAGAGGTTAAGTTACCTGCCCAAGGGCATACAGCTTAGGAGATAAAGGAGCTGTCCCTCCCCACCCTCAGGATCAGGCAGGAAAGGATAAGAATAACCAACCACATCTGTTCACAAAGAGAAACTGACAGGCCACACAGAAGGCCAGTGACTGGGGCAGGGTCACCCAGGAAGTTCCCATGAGGCCACAGGAACTGGGCCATCAAAGCGTCTGGCATATCCCCTACCTCCTCCCACAGCCTGGCATTTGGTGGCTCCCTGCCTTTCTTGGCGAATGAGAGGTGAGGTGTACAGGTTTGCTGCCCAGACAGTCTTCGGAAACCTCCCTGAAGCCTGTGCAAGTGAATGCGGTCAGCATCCTGGCCGCTGGCCTAACCTATCAGAGCGCAGCCAGATCTCGTTAAATGGCTCCCTGTGGGAAACAGGTTTCGTTGGGTTTTTTAAATGCAGTTTCATTGTTACTCCCAACCCCTGAATGGAGGCTGCTCTCCTTAAATGTGGTGCCGCAAACCTCTCTCCTCAGCCCTTACCACTACTTGATCCCTTGAGGCATTTGTTTCTCACTTCCTCCAGGAATAGGGAGTTTCCCAGGTGGCATCAAGAACCCATGGATGGGTTGGAAGGAAGTCAGAGCCGGAATCTGATCCCACTCCTGACCCTGCTAACAGGAGCCCTTGAGAAGTAGCAATTAGCAACCAAAAAATAAAAACAAGTAACAATTACCAAGAGGCTTAAAAGAAAGCCAGGTGCCCTTAAATTGGGGAGGAAGCAAACAGAAAGCTTTGTTCCCAAGGACCATTTCCAGTAATAAACCACCTCAAACCCCTAGTTAATTTTGTTTAGGAACAGTGTAAAAGCATGAAAGGGCTGTAGATTTAAAAGGGTAGGGCCATTTTATCGTTAGAAAAATTCAGAGAAAATGCCCCCTGCCGACCTCCCCCCAAAACCTGAGTAACGTACCTGAGAGAATTAGTCAAATTAGCACCCACATGCTGAAGAAATTGTATTTTTTCATATATATCAGACTCTTAAGTAACTGTTGACAGTTAACAGAGCTGATTCTTTCAGACTCAAAAGTGAGGCTTTTATTCCCTTAAATAGCTTTTTTGATACATAATTAGAAGGGCCGTGGCAGTGCCCGTGGCAGCGGCCAGCAAGGCAGCCTGCTGGTTGCCCTGGCCCTGCAGGAGGCTCCCCACCGTTCCCGGCCTCCTGGAGCCTCACCAACCCCGGCCTCTGAGGTGGCCTGGGGTGGAGTGGAGGCCTCTGTGCTTTGATGAGCGGCTGGTGCTGGGAACCCACGCCCTGTCGTGTTTCGGGCCCTGTGCTGGGCTCGGGGTCCAGAGAAAGACCACCCCACCCAGGAGGGGAGCCAGACCCCAAACAAGCGTGGGAGTGCAGTGATGGAGGCGAGAGCCCAGAAGCTTTAAAGAGAGGGGGATGGTAGAACATGATGAAACCTGCCCTGCTGCGTCTGACAACTAAGAAGGTGCCTATGCTGGGTTTCTAGGGACCAGTTGGAGTTCCCCAGCCAGAGGATGAATCCACCTTAGGCTGAGAGCTAGCCTGTGCAGAGATGAGGCGGGGAATGGCAGGAGATGCCCTTGGAGAGGCCTGGGGTGTGGCCGGCTCGTGCACCTGGTGTCAGACGTGATCCGCAGGGTGCAGGGGCAGGGCCGGCATGTGACTGACGGGATGGAGGGCAGACGGAAGGCGACTGTGAGAGATGACAGCGGAACTTAGATAGCAGGGAAGGAACAAATGCGGCAAGTGTGCCAAGTAAAACTGGCAGAGTAGGAAGGGATGTTGCCAGCTGAGAGCCTCGCGGAGGGGCTGGAGGGAGAGGAAAAGGACTTGACGTTGAGGAGGCCCCGCTAGAGGAAGACTCCCTGAGTGACAGGGCGCGGGAGTGAGCAAGGCGGAGGTAAGGGGTGCCGGGGGGCCGGCGGCTGTAACAAGGTTGCTGTGAGGGCAGGTGCGGAGGTGAGAGCACAGCCCCCCTCCCTGGTGGACCAAGTCCCTGCGTGTGGACAGCGGCCTTTTCCAATGTGTGTGGGTCCAATACGGTTCCCACCTGAGCAGCTCATAGTCGTGCAGACAGTTTGAGACACGCACAACTCAGTACAAGGCAGAAAATGGCTAATATTCTAAGGGATTTTGAGAAGATTCCAGGCCACGGTTAGAAAAATGAGAAATAACCTTGAGCTCCAAGGCCCAGGACAGTATCATGGAGAAGGTGGCACGTGAGCTGGGAACACGTGGGACCCGTCGGGGAAGAGACGGAGGAGTGGACGCGTGAGGCCTGAGTCATTATCGTGGACGACAAGCTCCTCCTGGTCCCACACCATGGCGGTGCTTCAGATGCGTGCCGTCCTTGCGTTTGACCAGTATCGAGCTGGCAGGATGGCTGGGAGAGCAGCTGTCCACCCTGCAGAGTTAGCTCAGCTCTGATGAACTCCCCGGGTGGTGGGGTGGCGTCCTTACCCAGACTGAGCCCCAAAGCCTGGTGCCATCCCAAGCACCGGGAATGCAGCTTCTCCAGCTCCCGGGCCTGTGTCCCTGTTGTGGCGACTGGCCAAGGCCAGGCTCTGCAATCTGACTGAGTCCCAGTGCGGTCCTGCCACTACCCTGATTCAGCACGGCCGCTCAGCCTCACCGCTTCATTTAAAGAGGATGATATCAGGAGGTCGTGAGGGCCCAGAGGGAGAGCAGGGCGGCCAGCCTAATGGGGCTGACCCACAGGCCTCCGCGCTCCCAATCAGAGTCGGCTTGCATGCTTGCAGTTCAAATGAGTGAGATGGAAAGTCCAGCCACAGGGCAGCCCCGCTGCACTGCGGGGTTTCATTTTCTTCCTACGGCCTGGCTATCCTCACACGAACACTCAGGGTCTTCCAGCAATGCTGCCACGATCCATGCTGGAAAGAGGGGCTCCGGAGTGATTCTTAGAGTGCGGATCAAAGGTTTCTGCACAGACACGCCTTGCTCGACACTTGCCTTTGGCTGTGTTGCTTTGAGACTCTAGTCAGTTTGTCGTCATCCTTAACGTGTTTGTTTCCTTACAGTTCGAACAAGAAAATCAGCGCCTGATTGGTGAAATGAACAGCCTGTTTGACGAAGTGAGGTATGTGTGTGGTTCCTTTGTGAGCCGGTGGCCTAGTTTACAACTTTCCCCATAACTAGGAACTTTATTAATTTACTCTGGTGCCCAGGCATCCACATGGCCACATGTAGCCCCCCTCCCGCCATTTAGGGGGTCAAGGAAACTGCCTGAATTCACTGACTCCCCTCGACTTGTGGGCCTGTGAGATAACCCCACGGGCTGCTACAAGGCTCCCAGGTGCTGCTGCCCCATCCAGGAGGATCAGCTCATGATGGCAGATGACACCAAACTTAATGACCACTGCCACGTGGGAGCTAGTTACACTTAATTACTCTAAGATGAAAGGGAAACCTCGTGAGGGACGGCTGACAGAGGGAAGCCCTGCAGATGGCTCCACTGGGGTCCGGCTGCTCCCTCACCAGAGCGATCAGCCATGCAGAAGGCCCGTGGCCGTGGCCCACACAGGTACGGTTACCAGCCCTCCGGTGAAGGCACTCAGGCCTCTTGCCCTGGGAATGCCGGGAGCATCCTGCGCCGAAACTCTTGTTGCCCTGTGGTCACTTCCCAAAAGAAGATGCATCCTGACGTTACACTCGCGCAGCCCTGGAGACTGAGTGCCGGTGTTTCCCTCTGACCGCTGCCCCCGGCTCTTCCCTGTCCCTGCCTTCGCAGGCGGGTCTCCCAGGCCTTCCTCAGCGATGGCGCTCTCCCGCCCTTGCCCCTCCTTACTCTTCTGCCAAGTCTCCCCCTCTTCCCTCACCTGGTCTAGGGGGACTCGAGGCCCGAGCGACACAGCTAGGGATCATCTCCCCATCGAACATGTCCGCTTCCTCCTGGGCTGGAGCTCAGCCGCTGCCTGTGCTAAAGCAGCTGTCAGCTCAGCCTCTAGACGTGCACCCCCCGGCCCGCCGCAGGGTCACCCTTGCTGCCCATGAAACGGGGAGAAGCCCGCACACTTAGTTGCTGATATCCCAGCGTGGGATGTTTTCGGCCAGAATCAGGTTTCCTTTCAACAGGGAGTTGGGGTGAGCGGTGAATGCACTCTTCCCCCTAACCTGCTAAGAGGTAACAAAGTTGGGTGACAACACATTCTGACGTTTTCTTTTGTATCCCCCCCACGTGTCACTGTGTTGCTAGGACAAGGCTCGGCATTAAAGGAGACTTTACTTTGTGTGACTGGGCGCAGCCGTGTGCCCCTGGTCCAGGCACTGGCTCAGGAGGCTGGGCCCCAGAGCCAGCTGATGCAGGGGGGCGGGGTGGGTTTCCAAACAGTCCAGTATGCCCCACTAAGCTGAAGGATGTTAAAGGGGAACCAGTAAGGAGAGTGAATCTTCCTCTGCCTGTGTTCTTCCCTGAGCCTGACGTAGCGTCCCCTCCCTCTCTCGTGCCTTCGTTTAGAAGAGACGACTTCTTTAGAAATGTGTGACACTGCTGTTAAGATCACCAAGTACCAATAGTTAATGTGTAATCTGTTTTTTTTTATGAAGGCAAATCGAAGGGAAAGTGGTTGAAATTTCCAGACTCCAAGAGATATTCACAGAGAAGGTTTTACAACAAGTAAGAAAAAATACAGTGGTTTTAAGATTTAGCTTGAAACGGGGATATACTAAGAACGCGGGACATTTCTTCTGAGGTCGTTGGGCCTCTGCAGCTGTGTGCCCAGAGCCTCCCCTTCCCCGGGAGCAGCCTCTGCAGTCCGGGGCAGCTCTCCACACGCCCCAGCCCTGTGCAGCGGAGCACGTGGGGGAGGGAGGCAGCTAGGTTTTGGTTCTGGATGCCCTCTGGGAAGCTGGGGAGCCTCTCTGAACTACAGTTTTTTCATCTGTAAAATAGAGTGGCCCTTGCATGGTTGTCGAAAGGCTCCGAGAATAACCCATGGAAAGCACCCAGCACGATGCATGAGTAGTAGCTTTTCAGTCAGCGGTGTTACAAGCTCAGACTTGGCCCTCTCAAATGCCGGGTCCCCGCCACCTCAGGTGTCCCGTCCTCACAGGAAATGTGACTGTCCTCATACGTGGATTTTCATGTCATTTCTACCTGCCTACAGTTCTGAAATTCTTCCAGCAGCCACTAACTGGCAAAATTTTCAGAAACCTGATAAATTCTCCCTGTTGTTTTTAGTATCCACAGACTGGAAGAGTTTGAAAGACAAAATTATTTTTCTTCACTGTGTTATTAGACTGGGCTACTTGGCTTAAGATACTCCACTCACAAAATGCCCCCTAAACCACACAGCCAGAGTCAAATCATTGCACATTGGGTACACAGGGTGGTTCATAGGAGGTGCCCTTTTCACTAGCGTGTTGCAGGAACTATTCGAATATATATATCTGCTAAGCCTTCACTTGGAAGCCTGATGGCCATCAGTTCAGCCTCCGGACACAGAAAACAGCTCCGTCAGATGTCTCCCCCTCAGAGCACCCACTTGTCCTTAGAGGCAGCTCCGCGTGGTGGGAGGAGCTCAGAGCCCAGGTGGAGTCAGACAGACAGCCCCCACCCGGTTCCCCGTCACGCATCATGTGACGTGAGCCCTTTCCCCCTCAGCAAAGCAGGGCTGAGGTCACCAGAGTCACTCTCAGGGGTAGCGAATGGGATCCGGGCCCCCTCAGGCTCTCAGTCCTGGAACCAGGAGCCGTTGTTTGTGAGCATGGCTGTGGCAGACCTGGGTAATGCACTGTTCACTAGCGCGGCCAGAGCCACGGGCCAGGGGCCTTCACTACAGCAGGGCTGCTTACATGCAGCAAAGTACTCTGAGGTCCTGGGGCCCAAGTGCACTAAAAGCCCTTACTTTTCATGACCATTGCTTCTGCTCCTACACTCGGCGCAGCCACTGAGGAGCACTGATTGCCCTTCACATTTGATTCTCAGTTGGGGGCTGGTTCTCGGTTAGGAAGCAGCAGTCCCAGGGTTCTGGACATGTGCCCCAGGAGGTGGCAGAGAGCCACTCAGGGCCGCACCCTGTGTCACCCCCAGGGCTCCGGGCCCCGACCTGGGAGGGATTTGCAGAGCAAAGGCTGAGCCCTGCCTGGCTCCCTCGGGGTTTCTAAGACCTGAGAAGAGCTGAGTCTGTCTGGGCTTCCTCATCTATGTTGCACGGTGGTTCTTACCCATCCTCTCATGGGAACAGTGGCCGTGGTCAGCCAGCTCCCACTTGGAGATTCTCTAAAAAAAAAAAAAAAGCGAGATTTTGGAGCAAAGCAGTCCTTGGCCCTCAGGTCCTTAGACTATGTGGCATTCACTGCTGGGAATCGGATGGCTGAAGGTCGATTTCCTCTCTGCGGTGCTGTACCAGTCAAGTTTTCCCTAAAACCCACACTCGTCTATATTCCCTCCCCACCGCCTAGAGGGAGAGATAGGCCTGCTCCTTAGACCTCGGTGTGGTTCACAGCCGGTGCAGGGGTGCAATGGTGGGTGATTAGCCAGCCGCTCCTGTGTAAGCCCAGGATCCCATGTTTAAGCTTTCCAAGTATTTGGAGTAAAATTTTTGCAAACATCCTGCATACCATTTTGATTTTTAAGTTTTAGCTTTTTTTTTTTTTTTTTTTTTTTTGAGAGAGAGAAAATGGTGATATACAAAGTGCCATTTTGAAGCTAGCATGTATGTTTTAGAGCCACATGTACTTTGAAGCCCCCTGGCATGTGGTAGCCACTCTGCGATTGAACTCTTCCTGTCCAGTGAGTGGGGAAGGCGGCCAGCCGGGGTGGAAGGAGCACAGGCACCGGGCCCAGTCCCAGTCCTGCAGCTTGGGTGCTGTGTGACTTTGGGCTTCTCTATGCTTTAAGCTTCCCTCTTGTAAATGAGAGTGTTGCCTACCTGTCGGGTGCTATGAGGACCCATGGGTTCATGGTGTGTAAAGCCCCAGCACTTAGTAAGTGGCAGCTACTGTTACTACCGTGACATACACTGGGCGAAGGCGGTGGCGGTTTTATTTATCTGCTGTTTTCTTCCCCGACAGGAAGCTGAGATTGACAGTATTCACCAATTAGTAGTAGGAGCAACTGAGAATATCAAGGAGGGCAATGAAGACATCAGAGAGGTGGGTACTCTTGGGGCACCGTGTCTGATTTGGAGGAGCGCTGAATCCAGGCAGTAGTGTCCACCCGGTCAGGGCCACGTGCACAGGGCTGGTCTCAGGACTGTGCTGGATGGGCCCGTTCCACCCTGCCAAGCCCAGGACCCCACTCACTGCCCTGCAGAGGAGCCAGCTGGGGTGCAGGGGTCCCTCCCTAAGTCCGGGCTGGGCCCCACAGGAGAGGCTTGTGGGACCCCTCCAAGGGCCCAGAGCCCTGGTTGCTGTTTACAGGGCCACCACAGTGGACTGTGGAGTGGACTCATTGTCTGAGTGCAGTCCTCAGGTTTGGGCTGACGTGGGACCGTTCTTGGACCACCACTGCCATCGTGCTACTAGGAAACACGTCAGGGTAGTGGACACACGCTCTCATCCTGTCTGTGTGGGCTTAACCCTGGGGTGGACGTGAGCCATTTTTCCTGGGAGAATTGTGCATGATCTCCAATGATGACTAACCAGAGAGGGAGATGCAGCCCACTTGTCTAACAGACTTTAAACCCACTTTTTGGTTTTGCTTAATAATTAAGCCGCCTGTGCAAGGTAAGCATAGGCTTGAGCAGTCCACACAGTCAGAGCCCCGCAGGGAGAGCATGTGCAGACACACGCAGCAGTGGAGAGCCTTTCCGGCCTAACCCCCGTGCCCCGCCCCCCAGGCCATCAAGAACAACGCTGGCTTCCGCGTGTGGGTGCTCTTCTTCCTGGTGACGTGCTCCTTCTCCCTGCTCTTCCTCGACTGGTACGACAGCTAGGCCGCCACACCCGGCAGACGGCACGCTGGGCGCGCTGTCGTGGCCCCTGGCGTTGGAGCCATCGGTTGGGAGGGGGCACGGAGATATATACTCACAAAAGGGACACCCGACTTGCGGTTTTAAGCCCATGTAAGTAGCTGAAAAAGAACACAACACAAGTAAACGTGGTCTGCGTCACAATCCTGCGGCCAGAGGGAAGGAACGGGGAGGGTGATTATTCCTGCAGCTGACGGGGCCTCCCCGGGGAGCGGGGCACGCGGGCCTCCTGCGTCAGGGGCTTGGAGGAGGCGCCGGCCTCTCCCTCCCGGTGGCAGCACTGGCCAGTAGCTCCTCACAGCAGATGATGGATTGTTTCCTGTGGCTTCTTGTCTGCCTCAGCCAACTGATACACAGACTCATCGTGCTGTAGAAAAGATATCACCTTCGCCCTGTGAGTCTAGTGAATACAGCTACAGCCCATTTAGTGTATTGCTGGTGGGTCCAAGGTTAGAAAGTCAGTGCGTGCCCACCTGCCTCCTGTCTGGGAAGAAGTGTGGGGACGGGGCCCGGCTTCCCCCAGAACTGCTGCCCCCAACACTCTCCTGATGGGTGGGCAGGGGGTGGGGAAGGCCCAACTTGCGGCCACTGGGGCCCACGGAGCTTCGTCCAGAGGAGGACTTGAGCCTCTCCACCCACCGGAGACCCAGGATCAGGAACGCCTGCTTGTACTCAGGCACAAGGCATCTGCGGCCACATCTGTGCAGAAAGCGCCCAGTGCACATGGGCCCCCAGGGTGTGAGTTCGAGGGCTCTGCACAGACAGTCCGGGGAGCACCACGGGGATCCTGTGTTCTTTATTTGCACAGAGTGACAATGTCAAAAGTTACACGTGAATGAGCTTACAGTCAATAAAATACATGTCTCCTAGAAAATACAAATAGGGCTGCCTTGACACTGCATTGACATGGGCTGGAATTTGCTGATAGATGATATCTCTACACAGAAGTTCTGGCATGTAGTTATTGCTCTTATGCGTCGGCACAGCTTCACAACATCCGTGACTCTACGCCCACCCACTGCTCCGAGGTCACGGTCGTTGTTTCCAAACACCCTTGGTAATAAAATATACTGCATGTTTCGGAAGCACATTTCAGGAAATAGTAATGGAGTTGGCCATGACCACCATGCTTGTTCGCACCAGATCTTGCACTATTTGTCATTTATTTTTGATTTAAAAAAACAAACAGTGAAACTTTTGACATGTCCACCAGAAACAACACATTTAAATAACATGGAAGAAAATGTCCATGAACATCTTTTTTTTCTATTTAATCATCTTACACAGTTTATCTAACTGGCAATTTTGTAAACATATACTTTAATGTCAAGATTCAGGTTGAAACATAATTGTCTTAACAAAGATTGTGAATGAAAATGTCATAACTGGACTTGCAAGGTGCGACGCCAGCCCCCCTCCCAGCCTTTCCTGCCTGTTTCTTACATCAAAGGAGTTACATCTGTCCCACAAAATGAAATTAAAGTAGCCTTGGCTTACCAGCAATTACACTTTCACTTTTCTCACCCAGCTAATTGTTTTAAAACTAAGTAGCTAATACAGCTGTTGGTGCAAACTTATTCGTAATAGATGTGAACAAAAGGGCCGGTAGGTTTCATTCCTACTCGGCCCATCACAGAGCAGACGACGGACTAGCGGACTAGCCACAGGGAGACAGGTTCTGTAGCCTGTGGCCCAGGGTCCCCTCTTCCCAGAGTCCCCACCTCCCATGCTTTGACCCAGTCCACATGCACTGAGGGAAACACGGCTCCCCTGCCCAGCGGGCGCCCTCTGTACCGAGAGGCAGCGTTCTGCCTGCAGCAGTGACCCCTGCCCAAGCCGACCTGCTGCAGCACCTGCGCACGCAGGAGTAAGCACGGGGCAGGCGAGGGCACAACTGCGACCTGATGGCATCTTTCCTTCCTTCCCTCTGACGCTCACTATGGTGCATCTTGACCACTGGCACTGTTGCCATTGGCGGGAGGGGGGAAGAAACGTGCAGTACAGCTTGCTCTTAGCAAAGCAAGGGATCACTCTAGATATGGCTACGGTGTAAGGTTTGCAAATGGCAAGGTGGTTTAAAAGAAAAAAAATCAATCCCACAAGATGCATCATTTATCTGAAGTCTGAACCCCTTGCATATCCAGTATAAGGTTTTTTTTTTTGACAGCATCCAATAAATCCCAGTAAAGTCGCTAAATTAAGATTCTTTACCATGGAAAGTGGTGTCAGAGCTCTTTTAGCAATGCTGATATGCACTTGATTTTATGCCCGTGGGTGTCTGCAGCAAGCTGTATTTGCAGAGCAGCATTAGCAAACAGAAGCAGTTGCACCATACATGAGTAACCTCTAAATTATCAGTAATTATATCTAATGAAATGTCCCTCAAAGTCCCTTTGTTACCTTCAAGTGACACTGTAAGGAACCTGCCCATCTCGCTAAGCGGATTTCTCAGCAGCCTCAGTCTCCTGCTCTGAGAGCTTCTCTTCTGACAGAACTGACATCCACGGCGACACCGAGCGGGTGATGCTCTGCTTGGCCAGGTTGTAGTGGTTGATGACGGTGTAAAATTTCTCCCGGGCGTTGGAGTCTTGCTCCGCATAGTAGCTCTCCAAGCCTTCTGGGATGCACTGGGTGTTCTGAAAGACAAGCCGCCCCCTGAGACGCATGCACCGATGCAGGAGGGAGGCCCACGAGTCTCCAGGTAGCACCCAACCCGTGGTCACTGAGCATCTCCCTGGGCTTGGAGGAAACTCAGAGATGAGCTGACTGCCTGACACTGATTGCATGGTAACGGGATGGACGTCTGTACAAGGTCGCGGCGACGAGACTTACACAGCGGGCCTTCCTGCTTCTTTAAAGATCTTACACTCGTGGCCATTTATTTTAAATCTCCTAGAAAACAATGGAACTTCTGACATGTCCACCAGAAGCAACATATTCAAACAGTGAAGGAAGGGAGTCAGAAAGGCTCCTGGGAGCAGGGGTTGAGGGCACTTGACCCAAAGGAGCCGGTCCTCGGGGCAGGAGGATGGGGACACAGGCTGAAGAGAGGCCCGCGGCCGGAGCAGAGGGTGCAGAGCCGCAGGGCACAAACGCTGGGGAGAAGGCAAGGGTTGGGGGGTCAGGGCACACCACCTGCAAGGGCCTGGTAGGGAGCCGTGAGTGTGACCTGGAGATCCAGAGAGCCCAGGAAGCCATGAGGACCCCATGAGGGCACTTGAGGGTGGGGGGCTCTCGGGGGGGTAGCTGTCCGCTAAGGGAGAGGCACTTCCCTACAGCCCGTGGAACCCTGGGGTGGGGAGGTCAGTCCCTAGCTCTCGTCCGCTCACCAGGGGTCTAGGGCCCCCCAAAAGTCAGGCTGCCTTCCCTTGTCCATCCAGCAGCCGGGCTAAGTCGCCGCCCACCCTGTCTCCACACGTCGCTCACCAGGCCCTGAGCAAGGGGGCTGCACTCTGCCTCCCCCCGCCCTTCTCCCAGTGGCTATGGGGCTAACTTCTGGCCAACGGGGTGTGCGGGGCTGTGACAGGAGCAGGTTCTGGGGGGCTCCACACAGAAGCTGCCTGCCCTCCACCGCTCCCTTCTCAGCGACTTTGATCGCCTAGACTAACCTGCCTGGAGACGGACAACACCCTGGGGGCCGGCAGCGCAACACAACAGAATCGGGGCTCCAGGAGGACCTCAGGGAGCCCCACTGCCTGCCAGCTGCGGCCTTAATAAGAGAGAGAGAGAAACCTTCCATCTGGTGGAAGACACGTTACCTGTGTCTCTAAGCAACCAAAGCATTACAGGAGCGCCAGGGTCTCCCTGTCACACAGTGAAGGGAGACTGCAGTAACAAGGGTCCTTCCTGGGCCTTGGCTACCTTCACAGTCACCAGGGAGACTTTTTTTTTTTTTTTCTTCTTGCGTTATGCGGGCCTCTCCCTGTTGTGGCCTCTCCCATTTGCGGAGCACAGGCTCCGGACGCGCAGGCTCAGCAGCCATGGCTCACGGGCCCAGCCGCTCCGCGGCATGTGGGATCTTCCCGAAACGGGGCACGAACCCGCGTCTCCTGCATCGGCAGGCGGACTCTCAAGCACTGCGCCACCAGGGAAGCCCACCAGGGAGACTTTTTTTTTTTTTTTCTTCTTGCGTTATGCGGGCCTCTCCCTGTTGTGGCCTCTCCCATTTGCGGAGCACAGGCTCCGGACGCGCAGGCTCAGCAGCCATGGCTCACGGGCCCAGCCGCTCCGCGGCATGTGGGATCTTCCCGAAACGGGGCACGAACCCGCGTCTCCTGCATCGGCAGGCGGACTCTCAAGCACTGCGCCACCAGGGAAGCCCACCAGGGAGACTTTTAAACACCCCCGATTCCCAGCACCGCCCGCAGGGTCCGGCTAGCACCCCCGAGCAGCATCTCAGCCAAGGCCACCTCGCTGGTAAGAGCGCAGCCAGGATTCTACCAACTCCTGGGGCCCAGCAGGACACCCCGCTGCTCGACGCGCTCCTCTGCCTCTCTGGGTGAGCCCAGCATGGAGACCGTGACAGAGTCTCCGATGGTCACCAGGATGGCCGGTGGCGTCTACTGCCCTGTGGACGTGGGCGCCAGCCTGGGATGCACGGGGGGACCTCCTCTGGGAGCCTTGTCCCTGCCCGACCCAGGTTTCTTCAGCCTCCGGAAGCTAAAGGCAGGTTAGCTCCGTCTCCCTGTTAAGGGGCTGCTCCTTGGAGTCTTTCTGCAGACCCAAGGCCCGTCTCCACATCCCAGCCCTGCCACCACACCGGTTCCTTCTGACAGGTGGCCAAGTGCCTTCCGGGCACGATGTCCCCCTGTGAGCTGAGATCTGTTAGTCCCATTTCAGTCACAGCAAGTGAGAGCCAGAGACGGGAAGGGACCACAGGGCAGTGTGGGAACCGAGCTCCAACCCAGGCCTCTGCTCAGTGCACTCCAGACGTCGTCCCACCACCCGCAAAGCTGCCCATGGTGACTGCTCAGCCCAAAGGC